GATGATGATGATGATGATGATGATGAAGAGGAGGAGAGGAGAAGGAGGATGATGATGAGGAGGAGGAGGAGGAGGAGAGGAGGAGGAGGAGGGAGGAGTAGGAGGAGGCGGAGGATGAGGCGGAGAGGGGGTGAAAGAGGAGCGAGGAGGAGGAGGAGAGGAGGTGATGATGAGAGATGATGAGGATGAGGAGGAGGAGGAGGAGGGGAGGAGATGATGAGATGATGATGATGAGATGATGATGATCATGATGATCATGATGATGAGATGATGATATGATGATGATGATGATGATGAAGATGATGATGCTGATGATGATGATGATGATGATGATGATGATGAATGATGATGATGATGCATGGATGATGATGATGATGATGATAGATGATGATGATGATTGATGATGATGATGATGATGATGATGATGATGATGATGATGATGATGATGATGATGATGATGATGCTGATGATGATGATGATGATGATGATGATGATGATGATGATGATGATGATGATGATGATGATGATGATGATGATGATGATGATGGAGGAGGAGGAGGAGGAGGAGGAGAGGGATGATTTGTTTGCCACTGTGCTGCCCTGCCTCGAACCCCGATTCGGGGTCCTCTTGGCCTCTGGGTGAAAGAACGCTGGCCGACGCACACGCGCCGGCGCGCCGAAGTTAGAGCACAAGACCCCGCAGCACGAGACTGAAAGATAGGTGCAGGATTCTCGCATCAACAATGAGCAGACTCCTGGACCCTCGTGGCAGGGTGGCGCCACGAGCCACACGAGGACTCGCCACATCCGCCACCTGCCCGCGAGGCCGCATTTCGACGCAGGGTGGCGCCACGAGCCACACGAGGACTCGCCACTTACGCCACCTGCGAACGAAGCTCACAGCAGCAGCTTGTAGGCGGCCGGATAGCACTCAAGCCACCAACGCGAGGATCACCACCACGAGCGGCTGCATCAACATCAGCTGCCTCCGAGCCTTGCATGCCCCCCTCCTGGGCTGCGGGGGGGGGGGGCACGCCGTCAGCTGGTAACTGGCCGTCTGGCGCTCGATCCAGCCGGGCACGTTGCCGCACGAGCGGTTGTATTCGCCCCGCGGACCGCAGGGATCTTCACCAACAGACCATGGAGCTCTTCGAGCGGGACGAAGATGGGCGCCTCGGCGCCGAAGCTGCTCTGCGCTGGGGCTGACGTCGCTACAGCAACAATGTCGGGCACGGCGTCGGACTGCCGCCCCCGCACGTACAGAGAGCCCCGAGGTGCTCCACCAGCGGCCTCGCCGAGCGAGCGCCAGGTTGCCGAGCTTCGAGTCGTGCACTGCGCTGCCAGCTCTGGAGCTGCTGTGGCGAAGCCCGCACAACCTCAGCGCCTGCAGGAGCTTCAGCGTGCATGGCAGCGTTGTGCCGCAGCTTGTCCATGTGCTCGGGAAGGTGGCCCGCCAGCCTCGCCGCCAGCGCGACCACCGCGGAATGATCGTGACCACCCGATCCCCGACCTCGGCGTCGCCGGCGAGCAAGGCCACCGCCTCCTTGAGCACTGAGTCCTTCTGGGAAAGGTGCTCTGTCTTCAGCTGGAGCCTCTGGATGGCTCACTCAGCTGCATGGCGAGCAGCTTGCTGGGCGGCGTTCCGCTCTGCAGCTGTCTTCCAGGGAGGACCCAGTGGCGTGCGCTCCCGCGCCATCCTCAAGCCTCTTGCTCTCTCACAGCTCAGCAGCCTCCAGACCCCCAACAGCACGCCGCGGCCATGGGCGAAAGGGCAATGGTAAAAGCAGGAAACGCGACTTGAGCCCAAAGGGCTGCGGAGGAGGAGAGGAAGGAGGAGCATGAGGAGGAGGAGTAGGAGGAAGAGGTGGAACAGGCGGGCAGGACGGAGGAGGATGAGGAGAACGAGGATATTCAGCAGGTGAGAATGGGACATGGGCGATGACGCCGCTGTTGCTGCTGACGACGATGACGATGACGATGACGATGATAGTCACGATGACGATGACGATGATGATGATGCTGATGAAGGTGATAATGATGCTGATGATGATGCTGATCATGCTGCTGATGATGGTGATGATGATGATGATGATGATGCGGATCGATGATGATGCTGATGATGATGCTGATGCTGCTGACTATGTCAATGATGCCGATCATGATGACGATGATTCCAAAACCGATGATGGTTATGCTGTTGGTGACTGTTATGGTCATGATGGTAATGGTGGCGATGATGATGAGTATGAGGAGGGAGACGATGTGGAAAACAAAACGAGGGATCGAGATGATGATGTCGATGACGACGACTATGATAATGAGCCTGATGATGCTGCTGATGATGATGCTGCTGATGATGCTGATGAGGATGATGCTGGTGATGACGATGATGATGACGATTAGGTGATGATGATGGTGATGATGCTGCTGCTGCTGCTGATGATGATGATGATTATGCTGATGTTGATGATGATGCTGATGATAATGATTCTGATGATGACGGTCATGATCCCGACGACGATGGAGACGATGCTGATGGTGATAATGATGATGATGATGCTTATCACAATGATGATGCTGATGCTGGTGATGATGATGATGTTGTTGATGATGATGATGATGATGATGATGATGTTGATGATCATGGTGAGGATTATGATGATGATGATGCTGATGATGATGGTGATGATGCTGATGGTAATGATGATGATGATGATGATGATGATGATGATGATGATGCTGATGATGATGATGATGATGCTGATGCTGATGCTGATGCTGATGCTGATGCTGATACTGATGATGCTGATGCTGATGCTGCTGCTGCTAACGATGAGGATGATGATGATGATGAGGAGGAGGAGGAGGAGCAGGATGAGGAGCAGGAAGAGGCTGCTGCTGATGATGATGACGATGATGATGATGATGATGATGATGATGATGATGAGATGAGGATGATGATGATGATGATGATGATGATGATGATGATGATGATGATGATGATGATGATGATGATGATGATGATGATGATGATGATGATGATGATGATGATGATGATGATGATGATGATGCTGCTGCTGCTGATGATGATGATGATGATGATGATGATGATGATGATGATGAGGATGATGATGCTGATGATGGTGATGCTGATGAGGATGATGAGGAGGAGGAGGAGGGGCAGAAGGAGGAGGAGGCTGCTGCTGCTGATGATGCTGATGATGACGATGATGATGCTGATGATGATTCTGGGCCACGAAGGGCAGCGAGGGGGCCACAACGGGGCCACGAAACAAAGCGAGGGGGCCACGACGGGCTGCAACGGGGCCACGAAACAAAGCGAGGGGGCCACGAAGGGCTGCAACGGGGCCACGAAGGGCAGCGAGATCCCGATTCCTGGGTAATCTGTGAGGGAGTCCTAAGCGTGAACGCGACTCCTGGGTGCCTGGGTGTCGGGAGCGCGGCGCTTGAGTAAATTGCAGGAAATTCCAACGCAAGGGCGCTATTCGTAAGTAAATTGCGAGCAAGTCTCCAGCGAGAGCGCGACTCCAGAGCGCCGGGAGAGCGATTCCTGAATAAATTGTAAGGAAGTCCCAAGCGAGAGCGCGATTCCTGAATCAAATGCGAGGAGGTCTCGGACGGGAACGGGGGTCCTGGCTAAATTGTGAGGAAGTCTAAGGCGGGAGCCGTTGTTGTTGTAACCCGGGGGCGAGGGGCCCAGTTTGAGCCTCAAGACTTTCCCTGATAACAAAAACAGGGTGCGAGCGTCGAGGGGCACACTTTGATTGAGAAAAAGCAGTATGCACCGGTGGGGGGTCAACAATAATTATTCTTCAGAAGTGAGAGTTCAACAACAACACCAACAGCACCAACACAACCACAACCACAACCACAACCACAACCACAACCACAACCACAACCACAACCACAACCACAACCACAACCACAACAACCACAACAACAACGACATCAGCGGCAGCAGCAACAAAAACAACACCAACAACAAACAACAACACCAACAACAAAAATAACAACGACGACGACGACGACGACAACAACACCAACAGCAACGCCATCAACAACAACAGCAACGCAACAAACATACATTGTCACCACGAATTCCTTATTCAGCCACGCACCCAGGGTCAATGAATGACCGTTCGGCCCCCTCACTCTGATAAGCGAACGTGCGCGGCGCTAAGGCGAGAGCCGCACTTTGAAAGAGAATCGCCCTCAAGCCGTGAAGCCTTGGCAAATGTGTAAAACGAATGTGCGCGGCGTTAAGGCGAGAGCCACATTTTGAAAAGAAACCGCCCTCAATCCGTGAAGCTCTTGCAAGTTTGTAAAACGAATGTGCGCGCCTTAGGTGAGAGCCACATTTTGAAAGCCAGTCGCCCTCAATCCGTGAAGCTCTTGCGCTTTTTGCAACGAATGTGCGCGGCGCTAAGGCGAGAACCACATTTTGAAAACGATTCGCTTTCAATCCGTGGAGCTCTTGCACATTCCTAAACGACTGAAAGTGGTGCCAACAATTTTTAAGCTTAAGGGTCGTAAGTGGTGAGGAAAGTCTCAAGCGAAACGCTTGGCCCGCCCTAAAAACTGGCCTCGGGGTGCGACAGGGAGAAGTTTTGTATAAGGAAAAAGAATGATGATGATGAGGAGGAGTAAGAGCAGCAATCTGAGGAGGAGGACAAGGAAAACGACGAGGAGGTGGAGGAATAATAATAGACATGTTCAAAATGACAATGAGCATGCTTGTAATACGAAGGAGAATAGCAACACAAGTACTAATTACATTACGAGCAGTATTACTTCTACTCAAAATAAGAACATGGAACATATTAATATCAGCAACATTACTAATAAAGGGTAATAAGCATGATACGAATAGGGAAAATGCGAAAACGAAGAATCACACGAATGGTAACACGAATCATGTCAAGACTAATGCTACGAGTCATGCCAATACTAACACTACGAACAGCAATACGACTAATACGAGTAAACATAACAATAGTAACGAAAATGCTGCTATTAATAAGCATACTACTACGAATATGTGTAGTAACATTAACAGAGGCTTTCTTAACAACCTTACTAGTGATAACAAGAATACAAAGAATACTATAAACGCTAGTATCAAGAATACTGGTGATATTAAAATGCGAACCAGAATGATGATACTACGACTGAGGATACGAAGAAACAGACAACTAAGTATAGTAGCATTAGTATTAAGAAACTGAGAAGAAGTGTATTGATATACTATTAACACTAATCATAATAATACTAGTAGGGAGAATAGTGCGAAGAGGCAAACTCAACATAACAATAACATGATTAGTAATAATAGAAGGAATTATACTGCTGATAATGAGGGCCTGCGAACAATACGAAGACTCAGCATACCAATACGCATACTTCTAATCAGAAGAACAATGATAGTCATACTAGTAATGTGAATCCTTACTATAATAACAAGAATTTCAAAACAGAAGTAATACGATGACTACCGTGATGTGATGAATAATAACCCAACGAACATCAGTGTTATCAATCACGATAGTAATAATAATCGTAGGACTAGTAGTAAACATACAAAGCCATGCATTTTACCAATCATGCGAGGATAACGAACAATATTCATAACATCAAAGGCGTACTACATATACTACAGAACATAATACTGATAATCTATCATTATTATTATTATGAGGAGGAGGAGGAGGCGGTGGCGGAAGCGGAATCGGAAGCGGAAGAGGAGGAGGAGGAGGAGGAGGAGGAGGAGGAGGAGGGAGGAGGGAGGAGGAGGGGGAGGAGGAGGAGGAGGAGGGAGGAGGAGGGAGGAGGAGGAGGAAGGAGAGAGGAGGGAGGAGGAGGGAGGAGGAGGAGGAGGAGGAGGTGTAGGATGGAGGAGGAAGGAGAGAGGAGAGAGGAGGAGGAGGAGAGGAGGACGTGGAGAGGGCGAGGAGAAAGGATGGGGTAGGAGGAGGTCGCCGAAGAACGAGGCGCGCCGCCGACGCCTGCGCGACTCGCAGCGGCCCCGCGCGGCCGGCAGCCCACGGCCGCGGCGGCGCCATGCGGCCTCGCGCGGCCCCGGGCCATGGCGAGCGGGCCCCGGCCGCGCGCCTGGCGCCCCGGGCTGGCGCGGCGAGGGCGCCGCTGGGCGCGGGACAGGCGACGCCCTGGGGCGTCCAGTGCTTCCATGGTCGTTCGCTTTATGGGAAAGTTGGAGTTCCTAGGACAGCAGTAGTTGCTATGCTATGCTATGTTATGCTATGCCTTGCTATGCCATGCTATGCTGCGCTATGCTATGCTATGCTATGCTATGCTGCGCTATGCTATGCTATGCTATGCTATGCTAAGCTATGCTATGTCATGCCGCGCTGTGCTATGCTGAGCTATGCTATGCTACGCTAAACTGCGCTATGATATTATATGCTATGCTATGCTACGCTATGTTATGCTGCGCTATGCTACGCTATGCTATGCTTGGCTATGCTATGCTATGCTATGCTATGCTACGCTAATGCAGCGCTGCGCTATGCTAAGCTAAACTAAGCTAAGCTAACCCTCTAGGCAGAGCCTTGCTTTTGCTTTGTTGTTGCTTTGCGTTGCTTGTGCTTTGCTTTGCTGTCGCTGCTGTTGCTTTGCCATTGCTTTGCTTTGCTGCTATGCTATGCTATGCTCTGGTATGCTCTGCTATGCTATGCTATGCTATGCTGCGCTGTGCTATGCTATGCTGTGCTGTGCTGTGCTGCGCTATGCTATGCTATGCTATGCTATGCTATGCTGCGCTATGCTATGCTTTGCTGGGCTATGCGATGATATGCTGTGCTGCGCTATGCTATGCTACGCTATGCTTTGCTATGCTGTGCCCTGCTATGCTAAAGCTCAGCGGAGCTAATATGAAGGTAAGCTAAGCTAAGATGAACCTGAGCTAAGATCAAGCTAAACTAAGCTAAGATGAAATCAGCTAAACTAAGATGAGATAAGCAACGCTAAGCTAAGGGGACGTAACTGGGGGAACCGCGGGGCGGATCCTGGGGGAACCGCCCGGGGCGAAGCCCACTGCCCGGCTTCTTTAAGATAGAGAGTAAGAACCCTTCTAGGCAGAGCCTAGGTAGGGAAAAAGAAGAAGATCTTGGCCGTCCTTCGGCGCCACGCCGCCGCAGATCCAGGCCGCCCAGCCGAGGCCCGAGCAGATGGGGTCGCAGGATCGCGCCGGGTCGCTCCGGTGCGCCGCGGGAAGGCAGCCTCCGGCTACGCGCAGAGGGGGGTAGGGGTAGGGGGAGTGGCGAAGGCTTCTTTGAAGCACCCCTGCTTCTTACAAGGGGCGGGCCTTGTCAGTAGATGTAGGGCCAGCGCCTTCTAAGAAGCAGCCTCCTAAGAAGCCTTCCCCCCTTCCCCTACCCCCTTCAGCGCGCCGCCAGATGGGGGGAGGGGCTCGGGAGCGGGGGCGTCCAATGGTCAGAGGAGTAAGAGGTCATGATTATGGCACGTTCCGAGATTCCCAGATTTTCTATGTTACCAGAGGTTCCACAGGAGCTGCAGCAGCGAGGGCCGCCAGATATGCTGGAAATCCTGAACCGTATCCTGAGCCAATCCTATCATGGCACCATTCCCGTCCGAAACGAGGGGGTGAGGACCAGGGTCGGGAACTTTGGGGGACAGCGCCGAAGCGCTCTGCGAGGTACCTCGTAGAGAGCTCTTCGGCAGGATGAGCTAAGAGGCATTCGGGCGCAGGGCAGAGCTAGCACCTCGCAGAGCCGCCGGTTCTGCCCCACCGCGCCTCGCCCAGGCCACCCGGCGTGAGCGCCCCCGAGCCACCCCGAGCGCCTCCCGCCGTGCCGGGAGCGGAGCGGCACGCCAGCCTCTCGCAGGGCACGGCGTGTTTCGCCGGGGCCGCCGTGGCGGCACGCTGATCATGGCGCTAAGCTGCTAACCGTAGAGGGCGGGGTCGTCATGGCCAGGGGCATCCTGCCTGGGGTTCGGCGGGTCCCGGGCCTACGCGCCCCCCCTCCTGCCGGCCTCCTGCGCTCCCGCGCTCGCTTTCTTCCTGCCTAGCGTCTCCCCCCCCTTCCCTTGGGTGGGTGCGTTGGCTCGGGACCTGCCCTGCGTCTGGGGTCTCTGGGGAGCCTGGGGTCCCTCGTCGCCAGCTTGGCAGTTCGCACTGTGGACGCTCCGGGATTTTCCCTCTCAGCGGTGCAGCAGCAGCAGGAGGAGGAGGAGCCCCGACCCCATCTGGGAGGCCCCTTGTCTCGGAGCACCCCCAGGCGCCCGCCTTGGCCCGCCGCGGAGCGTCCGTGGGGATCAGGCGGCCGGCCTCGTGGGCCGAGAGGCCGCCGGACATGCCGCCGTCGCTGCGGCCGACGCTGCTGCGCGGGCTTCCCGCGGCCGCCGACGCGGCCGACGAGCTGCTGTCGCAGGTTGGAGCCAGCTGGGGGTCTGGGGTGGCCCCGCGGTGGTTCTGGCGAGCAGAAGGGGGGAGCAGGCTCGCGGCGCTGGTTTCGAGAAGGTTCTTGTTCTCTTTTTCCCGGAAAGGGCATGGGCCCAGGGTTCTCTTTTAGTTTGTAAACAAGTCCCCCGGTGCCTGCTTGAAGGAGGCCGGCGAATTGCCGGCGAATTTTTTCCCTGATAAATAACGAGGTCGAAGGAGGCCGGCGAATTTTTCCCTGATAAATAACGAGCCCGAGAATTAAAATTAGAGGATGTCTCGAGCGAAACGCTTGTTTTTGAGGCCGGCGAATTAAAATTTGAGGATGTCTCGAGCGAAACGCTTGTTCCCGGAAAGGGCAAGAGCCCAGGGTTCTCTTTTAGTTTGTAAACAAGTCCCCCGGTGCCTGCTTGAAGGAGGCCGGCGAATTTTTTCCCTGATAAATAACGAGCCGGCGAATTGCCGGCGAATTTTTTCCCTGATAAATAACGAGCCGGCGAATTGCCGGCGAATTTTTTCCATGATAAATAACGAGCCGGCGAATTAAAATTTGAGGATGTCTCGAGCGAAACGCTTGTTCCCGGAAAGGGCTTTGGCCCAGGGTTCTCTTTTAGTATGTAAACATGTCCCCCGGTGCCTGCTTGAAGGAGGCCGGCGAATTGCCGGCGAATTTTTTCCCTGATAAATAACGAGGTCGAAGGAGGCCGGCGAATTGCCGGCGAATTAAAATTTGAGGATGTCTCGAGCGAAACGCTTGTTTTTCAGAAAATGGTGAGGATGTCTCGAGCGAAACGCTTGTTTTGTGTTATAGATTGTCCTCTCCTGGGGACCTGAATTCTGAGGACCACCTCCCAGCACGACCACCCCCCAGCACGACCACCCCCCAGCACGACCACACCCCAGCACGACCACTCCCCAGCACGACCACACCCCAGCACGACCCCACCCCAGCACGACCCCACCCTAGCACGACCACACCCCAGCACGATCACACCCCAGAACGACCACACCCCAGCACGACCCCACCCCAGCACGACCCCACCCCAGCACGACCACACCCCAGCACGACCACACCCCAGCAGGACCCCACCCCAGCACGACCCCACCCCAGCACGGCCCCACCCCAGCAAGACCACACCCCAGCACGACCACACCCCAGCACGACCTCACCACAGCACGACCACACCCCAGCACGATCACGCCCCAGCACGACCACGCCCCAGCACGACCACGCCCCAGCACGACCACCCCCCAGCACGACCTCCCCCCCAGCACGACCACCCCCCAGCACGACCACCCCCCAGCACGACCACACCCCAGCACGACCACTCCCCAGCACGACCACACCCCAGCACGACCCCACCCCAGCACGACCCCACCCTAGCACGACCACACCCCAGCACGATCACACCCCAGAACGACCACACCCCAGCACGACCCCACCCCAGCACGACCCCACCCCAGCACGACCCAGCACGACCACACCCCAGCACGACCACACCCCAGCACGACCCCACCCCAGCACGACCCCACCCTAGCACGACCACACCCCAGCACGACCACACCCCAGAACGACCACACCCCAGCACGACCCCACCCAAGCACGACCCCACCCCAGCACGACCAAACCCCAGCACGACCACACCCCAGCACAACCTACCTCCCAGCCACGAACCACCCCCCCAGCACGACACCCCCAGCCACGAACCACCCCCGTCACGACCACACCCCAGCACGACCTTCACCACAGCACGACCACACCCAGCACTGGCACGCCCCCAGCACGACCAATGCCCAGCACCCCAGCACGATCACTCGCCACATCCAAACGACCACCCCCCAGCACGACCACCCCCCCAGCATCTACCACACCCAGCACGACCACACCCCAGGCACGACCACACCCAGTCGCACCCCCGTGGAATGTTTCGTGGGGTGTCTCGTGGAATGTTTCGTGGGGTGTCTCGTGGAATGTTTCGTGGGGTGTCTCGTGGAATGTTTCGCGGGGTGTCTCGTGGAACGTTTCGCGAGGTGTCTCGTGGAATGTTTCGCGAGTTGTCTCGTGGGATGTTTCGCGGGGTGTCTCGTGGGATGTTTTGTGAGATGTCGCCCAGTTGGGTATCGTGAAAACGTGACCATGCTGCGCATGTCTATATCCCTTTCCGGGTTCGTGGGTCCATCATGTTTCCCGGAAAGGGCAAGAGCCCAGGGTTCTCTTTGTACTAGGTAAACCTGTCCCCCGGTGCCTGCTTGAAGGAGGCCGGCGAATTTTTTCCCTGATAAATAACGAGCCGGCGAATTGCCGGCGAATTTTTTCCCTGATAAATAACGAGCCGTCGAATTGCCGGCGAATTTTTTCCATGATAAATAACGAGCCGGCGAATTAAAATTTGAGGATGTCTCGAGCGAAACGCTTGTGTTGATATGCACGGCCCACCCCAGCAAGACCACCCCCAGCACGAACCACACTCAGCACGACCTCACCATTCCCGACACTCCGCCAGCTCGAATCACGCCCCAGCACGACCACGCCCCACACGACCACCTCCCCAGCACGACCAGCCTCCCAGCAAGACCACCCACCCAGCAACGACCACTCCACACAACGACCACACTCCCAGCACGTACACACCCCTCAGCACACCACACCCCACAACGACGCACACCCCAGCACGACCAACCCCAGCCAACCGATCGATAATCACAGGTGCGGAGCCCCGCATCCGAACCCACCCCAGCACGACCCCACCCCAGCACGACCCCACCCCAGCACGACCACGCCCCAGCATGACCACACCCCAGCACGACCACACCCCAGCACGACCACTCCCCAGCACGACCCCACCCCAGCACGACCCCACCCTAGCACGACCTCACCCCAGCACGACCACACCCCAGCACGACCCCACCCCAGCACGATCACACCCCAGCACGACCCCACCCCAGCAAGACCACACCCCAGCACGACCGCACCCCAGCACGACCTTACCACAGCACGACCACACCCCAGCACGACCACGCCCCAGCACGACCCCGCCCCAGCACGACCACGCCCCAGCACGACCACGCCCCAGCACGACCACGCCCCAGCACGACCACCCCCCAGCACGACCACCCCCCCAGCACGACCACCCCCCAGCACGACCACCCCCCAGCACGACCACACCCCAGCACGACCACTCCCCATCACGACCACACCGCCTTGGTTGAGTGGTTGCCTGTCGTCGTGGAATGTTTCGTGGGGTGTCTCGTGGAATGTTTCGCGGGGTGTCTCCTGGAATGTTTCGTGAGGTGTCTCGCGGAATGTTTCGTGAGGTGTCTCGTGGGATGTTTCGTGAGGTGTCTCGTGGGATGTTTCGTGAGGTGTTGCCCCGTTGGGTATCGTGAAAATGTGCCCATGCTCCACATGTCTATATCCCTTTCCGGGTTCGTGGGTCCATCATGTTGAAATCCCGACCTCACCACACCCCAGCACGACCACACCCCAGCACGACCTCACCACAGCACGACCACACCCCAGCACGACCACGCCCCAGCACGACCACGCCCCAGCACGACCACGCCCCAGCACGACCTCACCACAGCACGACCACACCCCAGCACGACCACGCCCCAGCACGACCACGCCCCAGCACGACCACACCCCAGCACGACCACCCCCCAGCAGGACCCCACCCCAGCACGACCCCACCCCAGCACGACCACACCCCAGCACGACCACACCCCAGCACGACCTCACCACAGCACGACCACACCCCAGCACGACCACGCCCCAGCACGAATCCGGCCCAGCACGACCACGCCCCAGCACGACCACTCCCCAGCACGACAAACCTCCCGCACGACCAACCAACCCCCCGGCACACGACCACCCCCCAGCACGACACCCCCCAGCACGTACACACCCCGCACGACCACCCCCAGGCACGACCACACCCAGCACGACCCCACCCCAGCACGACCCCCCTAGCACACCACACCCAGCACGATCACACCCCCGAACGACCACACTCCCGCACGACCCCCCGACCCCACCAGCACGAACCCAACCCCATCACGACCACACCCCATCACGACCACAACCCCAGCAGGACCCCACCCCAGCACGACCCGCACCCCAGCACGCCCCACCCAGCAAGAACCACACCCCAGCACGACCACACTCCAGCACGACTCACCACAGCACGACCAATCCCCAGCACGATCACGCCCCTCAGCACGACAGCCCCAGCACGACCCACTCCCAGCACCCCACCTCCCAGCGCGACCACCCCCCTCGAGCACGACCACCCCCCGCACGACCACACACCGCACGACCACACCCCACACGACACTCATCCACAGCACGACCACACCCCAGCACGACCACGCCCCAGCACGACCACGCCCCAGCACGACCACGCCCCAGCACGACCACCCCCCAGCACGACCAACCCCCCAGCACGACCACCCCCCAGCACGACCACCCCCCAGCACGACCACACCCCAGCACGACCACACCCCAGCACGACCACACCCCAGCACGACCACACCCCAGCACCAGCACGACCACACCCCAGCACGACCCGATCGATAAGTCACAGGGTTCGGACCACCCCAGCACGACCACACCCCAGCACGACCCCACACCAGCACGACCCCACCCCAGCACGACCACGCCCCAGCACGACCACACCCCAACACGACCACACTTCAGCACGACCACACCCCAGCACGACCCCGACCCAGCACGACCCCACCCCAGCCCGACCACACCCCAGCACGACCACACCCCAGAACGACCACACCCCAGCCCGACCCCACCCAAGCACGACCCCACCCCAGCACGACCACACCCCAGCAGGACCACACCCCAGCACGACCACATCCCAGCAGGACCCCACCGCAGCAAGACCACCCCCCAGCACGACCACACCCCAGCACGACCACCCCCCCAGCACGACCACGCCCCAGCACGACCACCCCCCAGCACGACCACACCCCAGCACGACCACACCCCAGCACGACCACACCGCCTTGGTTGAGTGGTTGCCTGTCGTCGTGGAATGTTTCGTGGGGTGTCTCGTGGAATGTTTCGCGGGGTGTCTCGTGGAATGTTTCGTGAGGTGTCTCGTGGAATGTTTCGTGAGGTGTCTCGTGGGATGTTTCGTGAAGTGTCTCGTGGGATGTTTCGTGAGGTGTTGCCCAGTTGGGTATCGTGAAAACGTGTCCATGCTCCACATGTCTATATCCCTTTCCGGGTTCGTGGGTCCATCATGTTTGGGGGGAGGAGGGGGTGCCCTGCGGGGGCAGTTTTCGATTCCCGGGACAGTCAAAACGGATCCGGGATGAAGACCTGCGCCGGCTGGATCCCGGAAGGGGTCTTGGGGCGGACTTTGAGCGGGTTTGCACTCGCCCCCCCCCTTCCTGACTGACCCTAAAACGACGCGAAGATCGGGACAAAATCGGATCGGGATAATTCGAAATCCCTGAGAATCGGAGGGTTTGGAGGATGTATTGGGCGCCGCGGCCGCTCCAGAGCGTTCCGGAACGCTCTGAGAGCGCTCCGGAACGCTCTGGAGCGATTTATCCCGATCCTAGCCTTGTTTTAGACCCATTTTCTCGGGGCCCAGCCGGCTCGGACCTCCTGGCCGCCTCCAAGTTCGCAGGCCTCGGCGCGGGGGGCGTGCGCGGCTGTGCCTGCCGCGGGCCTGCTCGACCAGGCGCCGGGGGCGGCGCGGCGGGCGGGCCGCGGCGAGGGCGCGTCGGCGAGCTGGGACGGCGCCGTCCCTGAGATCCTGGCGACTCAATTTTCCCGGAAAGGGCTCGAGCCCAGGGTTCTCTTTTAGTTTGTAAACAAGTCCCCCGGTGCCTGCTTGAAGGAGGCCGGCGAATTTTTTCCCTGATAAATAACGAGCCGGCGAATTGCCGGCGAATTTTTTCCCTGATAAATAACGAGCCGGCGAATTGCCGGCGAATTTTTTCCATGATAAATAACGAGCCGGCGAATTAAAATTTGAGGATGTCTCGAGCGAAACGCTTGTTTCCCAGCACGGCCCCACCCCAGCAAGACCACACCCCAGCACGACCACACTCCAGCACGACCTCACCACAGCAGACCACTCCCCAGCCGATCACGCCCCATCACGACCACGCCCCAGCACGACCACTCCCCAGCACGACCACCTCCCAGCACGACCACCCCCCAGCACCCCCAGCACGACACCCCAGCACGACCACCCCCAGCACGACCACACCCCAGCACGACCCACCCCAGCACGACCCCACCAGCCGACCCCACACCAGCACGGACCCAACCCCAGCACGACCACACCCCCCAGCACGACCCCACCCCAGCACGCCCCCCCCGTTGATTTCCAGAACTACCCCAGCGACGCAGGCGACACACCCCAGCACGACCAGACCCCAGCACGACCCCACCCCAGCACGACCCCACCCCAGCACGACCATACCCCAGCACGACCACACCCCAGCACGACCCCACCCCAGCACGACCCAACCCCAGCACGACCACACCCCAGCACGACCACACCCCAGCACGACCCCACCCCAGCACGACCCCACCCCAGCACGACCACACCCCAGCACGACCACACCCCAGCAGGACCCCACCCCAGCACGACCCCACCCCAGCACGGCCCCACCCCAGCAAGACCACACCCCAGCACGACCACACTCCAGCACGACCTCACCACAGCACGACCACTCCCCAGCACGATCACGCCCCAGCACGACCACGCCCCAGCACGACTCCCCAGCACGACCCCACCCCCGCACGGCCCACCCCACCACCACCCCAGCACGACCACACCCCAGCACGACCCCACCCCAGCAAGACCACACCCCAGCACGACCACACCCCAGCACGATCTCACCACAGCACGACCACACTCCAGCACGACCACGCCCCAGCACGACCACGCCCCAGCCACGACACGCCTCAGCACGACACCCCCAGCACGACCACTCCCCAGCACGACCACCCCCCAGCACGACCACCCCCCGCACGACCACACCCCAGCACGACCACGACCCCAGCACGACCACACCCCAGCACGACCACACCCAGTCGCACCCCCGTGGAATGTTTCGTGGGGTGTCTGGTTGAGTGGTTGCCTGTTCGTGGGGTGTCTCGTGGAATGTTTCACGGGGTGTCTCGTGGAATGTTTCGTGAGGTGTCTCGTGGAATGTTTCGTGAGGTGTCTCGTGGGATGTTTCGCGGGGTGCCTCGTGGGATGTTTCGTGAGGTGTTGCCCAGTTCGTGAAAACGTGACCATGCTGCACATGTCTATATCCCTTTCCGGGTTCGTGGGTCCATCATGTTTTCGAGCCGGGCGTTTTCGCCTCTTCTCGGGCCCCGGGACCCTCACAGATCGATCCGGCTCGAAAAATGACGCAGAAAGATGGGGTCCGGGGCTCCGGGCGCGAATTTTCACGATGTTGCAATTTTTCCCGGAAAGGGCAAGAGCCCAGGGTTCTCTTTTAGTTTGTAAACAAGTCCCCCGGTGCCTGCTTGAAGGAGGCCGGCGAATTTTTTCCCTGATAAATAACGAGGCGAAGGCGAATTTTTTCCCTGATAAATAACGAGCCGGGCGAATTGCCGGCGAATTTTTTCCATGATAAATAACGAGCCGGCGAATTAAAATTTGAGGATGTCTCGAGCGAATCGCTTGTTCCCGGAAAGGGCTTTGGCCCAGGGTTCTCTTTTAGTATGTAAACATGTCCCCCGGTGCCTGCTTGAAGGAGGCCGGCGAATTGCCGGCGAATTTTTCCCCTGATAAATAACGAGGTCGAAGGAGGCCGGCGAATTGCCGGCGAATTAAAATTTGAGGATGTCTCGAGCGAAACGCTTGTTTTTCAGAAAATGGTGAGGATGTCTCGAGCGAAACGCTTGTTTTGTGTTATAGATTGTCCTCTTTGGGGACCTGAATTCTGAGGACCACCTCCCAGCACGACCACCCCCCCAGCACGACCACCCCCCAGCACGACCACCCCCCAGCACGACCACACCCCAGCACGACCACTCCCCAGCACGACCACACCCCAGCACGACCCCACCCCAGCACGACCCCACCCTAGCACGACCACACCCCAGCACGATCACACCCCAGAACGACCACACCCCAGCACGACCCCACCCCAGCACGACCCCACCCCAGCACGACCACACCCCAGCACGACCACACCCCAGCAGGACCCCACCCCAGCACGACCCCACCCCAGCACGGCCCCACCCCAGCAAGACCACACCCCAGCACGACCACACCCCAGCACGACCTCACCACAGCACGACCACTCCCCAGCACGAACACGCCCCAGCACGACCACGCCCCAGCACGACCACGCCCCAGCACGACCACCCCCAGCACGACCACCCCCCCAGCACGACCACCCCCAGCACGACCACCCCCAGCACGATCCCCAGCACGACCACACCCCACACCCCACCCCAGCACGACCCCACCCTAGCACGACCACACCCCAGCACGATCACACCCCAGAACGACCACACCCCAGCACGACCCCACCCAAGCACGACCCCACCCCAGCACGACCACACCCCAGCACGACCACACCCCAGCAGGACCCACCCCAGCACGACCCCACCCCAGCACGGCCCCACCCCAGCAAGACCACACCCCAGCACGACCACACTCCAGCACGACCTCACCACAGCACGACCACTCCCCAGCACGATCACGCCCCAGCACGACCACGCCCCAGCACGACCACGCCCCAGCACGACCACCCCCAGCACGACCACCCGACCCCCCCAGCACGACCACCCCCCAGCACGACCACCCCCCAGCACGACCACACCCCAGCACGACCACACCCCAGCACGACCATGCCCCAGCACGATCACGCCCCAGCACGACCACCCCCCAGCACGACCACCCCCCCAGCACGACCACACCCCAGCACGACCACACCCCAGCACGACCACACCCAGTCGCACCCCCGTGGAATGTTTCGTGGGGTGTCTCGTGGAATGTTTCGTGGGGTGTCTCGTGGAATGTTTCGTGGGGTGTCTCGTGGAATGTTTCGCGGGGTGTCTCGTGGAACGTTTCGCGAGGTGTCTCGTGGAATGTTTCGCGAGGTGTCTCGTGGGATGTTTCGCGGGGTGTCTCGTGGGATGTTTTGTGAGATGTCGCCCAGTTGGGTATCGTGAAAACGTGACCATGCTGCGCATGTCTATATCCCTTTCCGGGTTCGTGGGTCCATCATGTTTCGCTACGTCGGATCTCAGGGGTGGTCCGACATCACAAGCAAAGATGAGGCGTCGCAGCAAGATCGACCGGAACCCTGGGATCCATCGTTGCGCAGCATTCGTCGAGCCTGGATCGATCCGCTGTGCAGAAGCTGCGACGACAGGATTTCAGGGGAGCAGGAGAGGCAGCTTCTCTAGGCCTTCCCACGTGGGTTCCGAGTAGATGGGGTCGGAGGATCGCGCCGCGTCGCCGAGGCCTCGGCGATGCGGCTCGATATGGAGCCCGAATTTCTCCACGCCTGCGTCCCGGATGGATCGTCGATGCATCGGCGATGCGGCGCGATCCTTTAATTTCGTGGGTGAGAAACGCATCTGTATCCGCGGTCTCGCGGGCCGGGCCCGTGGGCCGCGACCCTGCGGATAGTTACGGAACGTTTTTCGCGGATGCCCCGTGCGGAACGTATTTGTGCGACCGCGTGTCCGCGGGATCGCGCCCCGGAACCCAGACCGCGAGGGCGCGGATACGGATATGTTTTCCGCTCGTGAACATTCGGGCGCTTCGGGGACGCGCCCTGGTGGATACACCCGGGCCCTGGGTAGGCAGCTTCGGGCGACTCCGGGAAGCGTCACGGTAGGCACCTCCGAGCTGCCCAGGGAGGCGCCCTGGCAGGCACCGACACCGCTGCATTTCGAGTTGGGGATCGACTGCAGCATTGATTTGCCCCAAATTCGGTTTCCCGTCGAACCTACAAGCAATTAGCATCATGCTCTCCCGATCTACGGAGGTTTCTATGTATTTTCAGTCGACGGAAAATCGAGTCTTGGGTGAATCAATTCTGTAGTCGATCCCCGACTCGAACCCTTGCCTCGTTTTCACTTTGTTCACCACCCACCAAACCACCCCAACCCAACCCGAAGGCTCAGATTTACCCTCGATTTCCAGTGGGGGGGGGGTCGGGAAACATCGAAAAAAAACATGTGGAACCCTTACCCCCCCAACCCGAACTTCGGGTCTTCGGGTTGGGTTGGGGTGGTCTGGTAGGTAGTCACTTGTTGGGCCTCCCTGGGAGGCCCTCGTCGCCACCGCCGGGTTCGCCTCGAAGGTCTGGTCGGAGCGCACCCCCAGCCCCGCGGAGCAGCGGCCTCGGCATCTCTCTTGGCCCCCCCAGGCCCAGCAGCTGCTGGCGCCCGTGCACCCACAGGGCCCGCAGGACCCGCCGGACCACAATATCGCAGGCCTAGAGGTTGACACCAACACCAAGATCGGCGGTGTGCCTCCACCGAGGGAAGACGATCCCGATCTCGGTGATGGTGGTAATAATTCTGGCTTCCAAGGTGGCCGAAATATTGCCACCAACACCGAAATCGAGGATCATCTTTCTCCTGTGGAGGCAGCCCCCTGGGCTGGTGTTGGTGCCCATTCCCAGGCCTCCAACAATAGCAAGCGTTCCAGCTGTCTGGTATTGTTTCATTGAGTCCACGCTTGGTTCTGGTTGGCCCCAAAACCTGGCATCGCTCGGACGTGTGCATTTTTCCTTCGGCGAGGACCATCGAGGAGCATCCTTGATCATTTGGAGAAAAAACCACGCATGAAACCGAAAAAAACACGGGAAATCGACGTCCGAGCGATGGCCAGAAAAGGGGGTCCAGCTGAAAAGGGGGTGGCGCCACAGAATTGCAAATGTGTGTTGCGCCATAGCATTGCAGTGCATGGTATTGCAACTAGTGCGTTGCAAACACAGCCAGCAGTACACTTGGGCCCGGAGTGCAAGGCACGCCCCCAATCTATTTTAACCCCACATCTATTGCACCAGATCTTTTGCATCACCCCTTTGTAGCTGGACCCCCATTTGCGTCAACCAAATCGGTGTCAAGGTCAAAACTGATAATAAGGACGAGGGACTCTCCAAAGGTGCCTTTGCGACCTTGCTTGTTCGGCCCGCCCTTAGCCTTTCTCGCTGGCCAGCCTCTCCTTGCGTTGTTCTTGCAGTAGGTATTTTTCTTGGGAAGGGCTCCGGCCCAGGGTTCTTTTCCCGGAAAGGGCAAGAGCCCAGGGTTCTCTTTTAGTTTGTAAACAAGTCCCCCGGTGCCTGCTTGAAGGAGGCCGGCGAATTTTTTCCCTGATAAATAACGAGCCGGCGAATTGCCGGCGAATTTTTTCCCTGATAAATAACGAGCCGGCGAATTGCCGGCGAATTTTTTCCATGATAAATAACGAGCCGGCGAATTAAAATTTGAGGATGTCTCGAGCGAAACGCTTGTTTCCCAGCACGGCGCCACCCCAGCAAGACCATACCCCAGCACGACCACACTCCAGCACGACCTCACCACAGCACGACCACTCCCCAGCACGATCACGCCCCAGCACGACCACGCCCCAGCACGACCACTCCCCAGCACGACCACCTCCCAGCACGACCCCCCCCCCAGCACGACCACCCCCCCAGCACGACCACCCCCCCAGCACGACCACCTCCCAAAACTCGCGCTGGCTCCCTTCCCGTGTCGTGAAAACGTTTCCACGCATGCGGTTCTATATCCTCCTCCTCCTCCTCCTCCAACTTCCGTTGTTCGAGTGGCTCTCCGCGCCCGCGGGCGGGGCCGCGCGTCGCTTGCCTCCCAGGGTCAGCCGGGGGACTCCCCCGCGGGCGCGCGCTTGCCCGCGGACGGGCCGCGTGGCGCGTGTACCCTTAGGGTCAGCCGCGCGGCCCCTGGGCCGTTTGGCGATTGCACCCCCAGGGTCATGCCGGCCGCGGCCTCGTTGGTGTGCATGGCAAAGTACGCAGAGTTCGCCATCAGTTGGCTGGCGCTCTGCGGCGCCCTGGCGCTCATGGCGCCGAAGAGGCCGGGCGGCAAGGGGCAGGGCAAGGGGCCCAAGAAGGTCAAAGTGGGCGACGTCTCCGCCGCTCCCCCTGCGGACGGTCGCGCCGAGGTAGACGCCTCCGCGTCCAGCGGCGCCGAGGTAGACGCCTCCGCGTCCAGCGGTATGCCGCCTGCGGACATGCGCGCCGAGGTAGACGCCTCCGCGTCCAGCGGGATGCCGCCTCCTCCGCTGGGGACGCCCGACTTCGATGGTGGCCGCGGCGTGGTCAGGAGGCCGTACAATTGCGACTTCTGCGACGCAAGCTTCCCCGTCTCCTCGTTCTTGGTGCCGTGTGACGACCAGGGCAACGTGCCCCAAGGTTCGGCCCGCGTCGCCAGGGGCATGCAGATCATCGCGGACATGTGTGGCGAGAAGCAGGAGTTCAAGAATATCATCGACATCGACGAGGACAAGCCCGATTTGCGCCACATGTGCTTCTCGTGTTTCGGCGTGCGCACCGAGGGCGACTCCGAGTACTATGTCAAGGAGAGGGACGGCGACGAGGTGCGCTTGCATGCTTCGTTTGGGAACGTGCGGAAGAGGTACTTCGGGCGCGACTCGAGGTCCGAGGCCGACGTGTTGCAGCACTTGGCGGCGAAGGCGTTCGACCGAATGCCGTCCGACGTGACCTGGGACGAGGTCTACCACAAGGTGTGCGTCCAGAGCGAGGTGGCCGCTGCTGGGGATTTCCACGTCGTGCTGGGCGGCGGCGTGCTGCTCATGTACAGCTGCCCCAAATGCTTCTTCCTCCCGGTGAACCCGAAATTCTGGCTCCGGTGCGTGAAGTCCCAGCATCGGCACGAGCCGGGTAAAGACGCCGAGGGAGGACACTGGCGCTGCCCGTTCGAGGGTTGCCTGGAGAAGTGGACGTGGGGAGCTGCCGGGAAGTTGCGGGTCATCCTCATCCCGGAGGTCGAGGGGAGCGGCCTGCAGAAGATGGTCATTGGAGCGACGTCCGAGAGCCAGGAGCACACCATTACCTTGCTCAAGTCCGCGAAGCTGCTGGAGACAGTGAAGCGCGCGGACGGCTCCATCCAGCAGATCGGCACGGCTGCGCTGGTGGCCGCAATCAAGAAGCTCAACGAGGAGGCGCAGGGACAGGTGCTGGCCTCCGGGCTTGAGGTGCACAACAAGAGAACGGCGGGGAAGGTGGAGATCAAGAATAAGGGCCTGTTCCCGTATTGCTCCGACCCCGCCCTCATGCTGGGCCACCCGGGCGCGACGTGCAGGGCGTTGCATCTCCCCCCGGACACGCCGGCCATCTCGCCGGGCTTCCTGCAGGAGGTCCTCGACGTGCTCGTGTGCTTTTACGACTTGTCTCAGTGCAAGGTGGGCGGCGGCCGCGCAATCCGGGAGGCGTACCGGGCTGCCGTCGCCACGCAGAACGCCAAACGCGGCGTCTACTTCCCGGGGTGAGCTTTTCTCACTGCTCCTCTCCCCTTCCTCCCCGGGCAGTGCACCCTCAGGGTCAGCCCCCGTCTCGCTTTCTCCCTGCTCGGCATTGCACCCTCAGGGTCAGCCGGTTTCCCTGTTCGCCTTGCCTCCTCTTCCGTTTTCGCTGCGCAGATCAGGTCAGTTGGCTCGACAGCGCGGCGCAGGCTTGGGCATTGCACCCTCAGGGTCAGCCCTCGCCCCCGCGTCTTTCGCCCGGCTCTGCCGCTCCTGCTTTTGCCGCGCAGATCTGGGAAGCTGGCCCGACAGCGCGGCGGGAAATGCAATCTTCCCCCCTTGATCTCTCGAACCCCGTCTTCGTCGTCGCCCGCGCGAAGGATCGCCGATAATCCACCCCATTCGAGGGTGCCAGGCGGGGATAAGGAGGGTTGTCTCACGGTGCCCTCCTCCGAGAGGAAGACGAGGAAGAGGAGTGGGAGGAGGAAGAGGAGGAGGAGGAAGAGGAGGAGAAGGAGAACGATGATGATGATGATGATGAGGATGATGATGATGATGATGATGATGATGATGATGATGATGATGATGATGAGAATGATGATGAGGAGGATGAGGAGGAGGAGGAGGAGGAGGCGGAGAAGAGGAGGAGGAGGAGGGCCCGCAGCAGCCCAAGAAAACCCCCAAGAGGACGCCGAGTTTTCAAGAGCGGCTGGCATTAATCTCAAGGATTCCTTGCGTTTCATGCGACATAACGAGATGCGCGAAAACTCTCAAAAAGTAGCTTTTTCTTGATAATCCACTTTTTCGTGTCGGAGGGCTTCTGCTCTGGATATGGATTTCGTCATGTATTTTGCACGATTGTGGCTGTACGCATTGAAAACTGGAGCGGCCGGTTGTTTGGTTGGCTCCCGCATCGGGGATAGACATACACGGCGACAGCTCCTTAGGAATTCCACCCCAAGGCGGCCCCCAAGAGGTCCTTCCCGGGTGCTGGGGCGTATTGCAATCGTCGCTTGCTTTGATATTGTATTGAACATGTCGTAGCCATTTTGGCTCTTGGCTCAAATATCTTTGCGCATTTGCGACGAACTGTTGTTGGAGAGGCCTTGCGGCCGGTGCCGCCGACCCTGAACGACGACGACGACGAGCGCTCTCGGGAGCCTCTCGGGGGTAGTTCGGCGGCCTCTTGGGAGGCTCTTGGGGTCTCTTGGGAGCCTCGTTGGGGCTTCCTGGGCGCCCTTCTGGCGGAGGGCTGGATATGTTCGTTCGGGTCCCACGTATGGGCTCCCTCTTGGAGCCGTCCTCGGGGCCTCCTGGGCCGTCTTCGGAGCCTCTTGGGTCCTCGTGGGGCCGTCTTGGGTTGTCTTGGGGCGATCTTGGGGGCCTCTTGGGCTGTCTTGGAGCGCCAGAAATTGTCCAAGGAGGGCGTTTCCTTCCCCGGCATTGCACCCTCAGGGTCAGCCGGTCTCACCGTTATCCTTTCCTGCTCGCCGCCGGGCATTGCACCCTCCGGGTCAGCCCTCGTCCTCGGTCTTTTCCTGCCCCGGCATTGCAACCTCAGGGTCAGCCGGCCTCCTCGTTCGCCTCTCCTCCTCTCCGCCGGGCAGTGCACCCTCAGGGTCAGCTCATGTCCACCCTCTCTTAATATTGTATTGAACATGTCGTAGCCATTTTCGCTCTTGGCTCAAATATCTGCGGCCGGTGCCGCCGACCCTGAACGAACCCGACGGCCATCCCGACGCCCAACCCGACGCTGAACCCGATGGCGACTGGCCCGCACCACGGCGTGCACTACCTTATGATCAACAGGGAGACGAGGATGAAGTGCTGGTTCTACTTGTCGCACCTTGACATGTGGGTGCCGCTCTACGTGCCGATCTCGGGCGACGACCCGTGGCCGCAGTTCCCTAAGCTCAAGGACTGCAAGGCTGAGCTCATCCAGGACATCCTGGGCAACAACGTCC